GTAGTTAAGCACAAAGTTACGCAATGGGTTATCTGTGCTGTGCCCACCACGGGTATCGAAACCTGGTTTCTAGTCTTATAAATCCAGCAGGCTTACTGCTGTGCCACTGGGAGGCAGTGCAGAAGAAAGCAAGAACTATTGATAGTGATGTAGAGCCAGTGACAACGCTATATTGGCCCTTAAGGAATTTTGTGTTATTTTTGATAGTTACAAAACTTTGTGGTGCATCGCAGCATAAGAGGTAGAAGTTGGCTTTGTGCAACAGAAATGACGGTCATTGCCTGTATTTTACTGTAATAAAAAATTGCCTGTGACACTTGAAAGTCCTATCCTGAGGAAATGGCTGCATTTTTTCGAGTTGTTGCAAGCTCCAGCAACGTTTGATGAAGAAATTAAGCCAACCATGAAAAATATTGTGTGAAGACAAGCGCCCATATAAAGGTTAATGTTGCCAAAAATTAGCTGTTTGCCCCAAAAGGGTGCAGTTTGAAAAAATAAGTTCCACAAAAGGTGCTGGAACACATTCGCAGGACAGCCTATCAAGCTGGTTATTACTACGTCCAAGCATTGTTGCCCTCATCTGCCCTGTCCGATTCACCTGACAGGGGACGATGCAAGACAGACCGTGAAAAATGGCTGCCACTTTGGTCAAAGTTTTCAGAAATAAAAATAAATGTCCACTTCTTGTGAAATGTAAACGCATAAATTGGTGTGAAGGGCGATGCATGTGCAAAAAGCCTTGCCGTTCTGCATTGCTCTGTTGTGGAGAGTGCTCACATAAATAATGCGAAAAATGTTTTAGATAATTATTACCATTGATTTAGACACTGCTCTGTTGTGGAGAGTACTCATATAAATAATGTGAAGAATGTTTAGATAATTATTACCATTGATTTAGACACTGCTCTGTTGTGGAGAGTACTCATATAAATAATGTGAAGAATGTTTAGATATTATTACCATTGATTTAGACACTGCTCTGTTGTGGAGAGTACTCATATAAATAATGTGAAGAATGTTTAGATATTTATTACCATTGATTTAGACACTGCTCTGTTGTGGAGAGTACTCATATAAATAATGTGAAGAATGTTTAGATATTTATTACCATTGATTTAGACACTGCTCTGTTGTGGAGAGTACTCATATAAATAATGTGAAGAATGTTTAGATAATTATTACCATTGATTTAGACACTGCTCTGTTGTGGAGAGTACTCATATTAATAATGTGAAGAATGTTTAGATAATTACTATTGATTTAGAAATGTATAAATCTCTGTAAAATACATATATAATGAAGAAGCTTAAACTTTTGCAATTGTTTCATCCATACTTGAGTTTTACTCAAAACATAGAAGTGATAGCCTTTCAAAGATTTAAGTAGGCTAAATATTAAGATAAATATAAATACATGTATATTTAATATATATTCAGTCTCTGCATTACAATAAGTTTGTATTAATATGTGCTCAATAAGATCAAAATTACAGTTGCCGATTCACAGAAAATCTTTTTGATTTTTAAAAGGCTCAAAAAGGCTTCAAAACAAATGTCAGGCTTGGCTCTAGTTTCTTAATCTCTATGCCAAAATTTGTCTCTGTTGCCTGTTTACGTGCTTCTATCAACTACATGCCTTTCACCAGTCCACTGGACTAATATATGCATTTTACTGTTCAATCATCTTATGTGTAAAAAAGCAGTTAAAGTTTACTATTTCAGAAACAGATAAGATTACTTACTTTAATAATATTTCTGTATCTAAGATGTCGTTCGTTTCCCGATTGATTCCGTATAGGAACAGATCCGATCTAAGAAACAAATCGAATCATAATGTATGGCCATGTTCCGGAAAGAAAAACTTAAAACTAAAGATTATAATGTTGTTTTTGTTTACATTCTATATCAACATATGAATATTAAATACTCAAGATGTCTTACGTCCTAAAAACACGGAGAAAAGAAAAAAACACAAAACTAAACAAATTAAACCAAAAACTAGCTTCTCTCTGTCATATATGACTGACTGTATACTAATTTTTGAGACCTGACGAAAATAATTTGTTACTTCTATTATAAGCAAAATATTTATTTCCTTTAGTTTTTAATAAAAGTTTCACACTGCTTGTCTTTCAACTGCAATCAATAATGCTGATACTGATATATAAAACTTTGTAACATGAGAATGATATTTGTAAAAACAAGCATAAAAAGGCATAATTTATAATATCGTTTTGTAGTAGAGGTGGGTTATATAAAACAACTTACGATTCTGGATGTTCTACGTCTCCTTCGTGATGAGACTCAAGCTTGGCCACTTGTACTTCATAGCCAGTCATGTTTGATAAGTAGCTATTGGAAAACATTCACTTGTTTAGTTTTCGGAACTGAGAAAAATCATCATTTATACCAACGTTGTCAACTGATACCCGCTTACCACAATCAGTCCCACGACTGAGTTTATTAGGTCCGTCCGCTCACTAATTATGAATCACGTGTTCTAGTTCAATTTTATGCATTAACTATGTTCTACTCAAAATTAAATGTTAACAGAAAAGTTATTTTGCTATAAGTCATATAAATAGCAAGTCACAACCTTCCATCATTTCCATACATACTCGAAAATCTGGCCTTTCACAATCTGGCCCGATCTACAATTATTATAGCTGGTTATGTACATTCAAAATATATGATGATAATTGCAACCAGTGAGTAAAATGTTTTATATCTGAAACGAGATAAACCAACTCCTGTAGTATTTATCATTATCTCAAGACTGTGCTACATGAAATATATATATATATATAATGAGTAAAATATCTTTTTCAAACTTTTAAATTTCATATTATCAGGTTTTAGTAGCCCTCTGCAAATCTTATTTGTATTTTTTATATCTGAAAACAGAAATCTTTGATTTTTAAATCAATACGTAGCTTTCCACACTTCATAAGCGAGAGTGTCGGATTTTGCCGCTGGGTCTCCATTTAATTAGGGAATGAGCTTCTATGTGTGCCTGTATTCTGTTATTAACACTTGCCACCAATCCTTGTTGTATATATGTGTGTTGGAATAGACTGCCACTGTATTTGAAGAACAAAAGTGTCCTTCCTTTCCGTTTTTCAAACGTTATAGGAAAAGGTCCCAACGAGATTCATTGGGGTATAGACTGTGGCAGACACTGAATCTTATTTGTTTCAAATCAGTGTTAAATATGGTGTGCAGTTTGGCACTGTGTATGATCATGGTAAAGCGATATGCTCTATCCCTATAGGATTTCACCAATGCAGGCAGTGCGGCATTTTATTATCAGGATGCCAAGTCCAAACTAGATGAAATAGGCCTTTACTACATTTAGGATGTATGATATATCTACATTTCAGTGTCCTTCATATTGCCTTGAAACTCAAATGCTTACAACCAAATATTTATCGTTTCTTATAATGGTTTTCTCTTCATTCCAAGTTCAATACTCAAAGAACCACGAGCCCCGACATCTTGCATTAAAGGTTGTGATAAACAATCAACAGCATGGAACTCCTTGTGCAGAGTAGGTATGTTGGTTGACAATGATGTACTCTCATTAAATCCTTCGGCATTATTTCAGTGGCAGGTGTACAGTTCTGTTTCAAAATATGTTTCAGAGTTTGTTTGAAATGAAGCATGATTGAATTTGGACGTCCAAAGAGTATTTCACATTACCACTTCCAGTGGTTTCCCATTTCTTCAACACTTTATTATCAGTAGATTGGGGTAGACTGAAATGTCCTAAAAATGCTTCATCTAGTATAAAATTCGTCATTGAAGAATCATGACCTTCTTTCATTATGCATTTATAAGACAAACTCAAGAATGCACCATGAAATCTAAATATAACCTAAAGAACCACCACTAGTTAAAGGTGCACTATCCCAGTATTTTGGTAATAAAATGCATATCTGACTACAAATGTACAATTAATAACCAAAGTTTTCATTATTGTTTAAAAACTTTGTAATGCATGTCTCACGCTTAAAGTTTTTCATAGCTGAAGTGTAGGGATCTGATTATTTAATGTTTACTAACTCCAGATTAGAATAAACATACGTGCATTTTCAAAAGCTTATAACTTACAATGATTATTTAAATTGTATTTAAAAATATGTTATACTGTTTATACAGATATGTAAATTAGAGTTTTCATTTTGTATTTCAGTGCATAAGAAAACCTTGTTTGAAAGACAAGTACATTAGCATGAAAATAAATATATCAGTAACGATAATTAGAAATTTTAAATGTTAAACATATAAAGAAGATTAATATAAAAATATGCCCATTTTGAAAATTAATAATATGCACACACACTAATGTTTGCAGCTTATGCATTATAAATTTTACTACCCACTGTGAGTTTTGTTATTTTGTATTTATATATATTCTTTTCTACTTAATCAATTTTCTTTTTTTCCTTTTGTATCTTAGTGTATCGTAAACACAGCGACATTCATCTTTTGATTGCTAGTAACCACAGAAACTGAAGAAATCCTCGACTATTTTTGCAGATATATGTTGTTTTATCTTCGTTAGTGCAAGTTCCATAGCTTTGACTTCAGAATTGGCTAGTTTCTCTGCATTATTTAATGTATACGACCTTAAAGAACATTATTATAAATACAAATCAATCTTCTAATGATTTCTAAACACTGCATTATGTGACACCGACAGTAATGTTTCCCCTCTCGTCACATTTTTTTTTTTTTACGGAAAAATTTCTTCTTTATGGATATCAGTCAACATCTTCTATCTGTTCGAAATAATTGAGCCTGGGTTATCATAATTATCACACTAAAAGTAACGTATATCACTGTAAATGTAATAAGGATACACAATATTATTTATAAAATACTACCTCACATCGTAACCAACTTTAAAATTTAAAATATTAATCGTATTTTTACGTTACATTTACAGTAATGTTATCAAATACCCCACATCGTAACCAACTTTAAAACTGAAAATATTAATCGTATTTTTACGTTACATTTTCAGTAATGTTATCAAATATTTTAATATTTCAAATATAAAAAAACAAAATAGCAATATCGAAACAATTGCTGCAACAAAATACAAAAATACTGTTTGAGTAATACACGCAGTAAAAGGAGTACTTAAAGTGGAATTTTTGGAAGCAGAAGGAAGAAATAGAGATTAAACTCTGTCTTATCGCCTAACGATGAAAGTGTGTAGAAAGAAGCTTCTGAAAATCTCTGGCTTATCAACTATGATTGATCAAACTTACTATCCACGAAGACAAAATTAGCATGAACACAGGGTGTACAACAGTGAAAAACAATTACCTTAATACTTGGCCCATATGCTGTTCCATTACTAGAGGATGAGTATCAGTGACAATCACGACTAGCTTGGTTTCAGGTAAAACGTATATCTATGAAAATAGAATGCAACAGTTGTGGTAGTAAATACTTCTTGACTGAATGTTACTTTAAACGTTTCAGTTAATAAAACGTCCGATTATAATTTACGACCAATATGTTGTGATATTTATAAATAGTACTCTTTATTATTATTATTTTAGTAGACTAAAAATCTCTAACTCAAAGAAATTATTATTTATTTTGAAAAGAAATTTATTTATGTACGTGCATACGCCTCTTATTTATCGTGAGCGTGACTCCGACAAAATAAATCGAAGCTTTTATTAAAGATAAAAATTGAGCAATATCGAAAACACGTTTCTAATGAAACAGCCGTTTTATGAAATTTGATATTTACTGAGCATACATAAACTACATAAACACTACTTCACTAAACTGTGAATATGAAAGAATGATTTATAATCTGTGCCATGTTACTATAAGTTTGCTTCGAGCAGTAAGTGTAATAATGGTGCCAATAATCAAATCTAATAAAATATTCTCAATATGCATATACGATATTTTCTTGCTTTCTTTAAAAAACTGCCTTTTTCATCAAAATAACTTAAAAAGATAGTTGTTACTGATTGGTCATTCGATGAAATTAAGTAAAACAACAAGAGTTAACAACATTCTAATTAAATAAATACTAAAGTGTTGGAGTGTTTACGTTTAAAACATAAATCAGTAAACCTTTGTAATTGGATTCTGATAAATTACTCAGTTCTACAACTTACAAAGACATTAGTTAAGGCCGAATGACCATTTGAACTGCCCTCTCTGTCAGTAGCCTTGACATCAAACCCAAAAGCTCTTTCTCTGTCCAATGAAAACGTTACCATGGAACGAATAATTCCTGTAACTGGATCAATATGAAATTTTGACGACGCATCTTTGTCTTTTTGGATAATTTCGTAGCGGATAGCAGCATTATAAGCAATATCTGCATCGATGGCCTGCAAAAATATATATACTGTTTAGAGACTAAGTTTTTTTGTAGTTTTTTAACATTATGTAATATTCTTTTGTTTTCTTATTTTAACAGAATGTCGTGTATATTTGTAAATAAGAAGGAAGGAGTCGTAACAAAACAATCGAAATATAAAAATATAATGTTGCGTCAGCGAGTCACATGACCACGTGACGCAACGTTTC